AGCCTACAGAGGGCCCAGAAGAGGAGGCTCTGCTCCCAGGTAGCTGGTGCTCCAGAGCCTGGGCACAGCCCTAACATTCGGGATTTGGCTCAAGGCCGGGCTCTGCCCCCTGATGTGACCTCAGGGAATCCCCTATGACTCACCTGTGATGGCCACAATGATAGCACCTCACTCATGTGGTGAGGACCGAAGGAGAGGGCAGGCCTGAGTGCAAGCCCCCACCAGGCAGGGAGCACCCAGAGACAGGGAGCATCTACAGGCAGGGAGCCTCTGAAATGGTGCCTGTTACTGTCTTTCCCTTACTTCCAGGTGGTCAGCTGTGTGACAGCCACAATCACCAGCCTGCATTCAATAAATGGCTCCCAGCAGCCACTCTGTCCCAGTGGCCCGGCACCCACTCTGCAGAGTTATGCATGAAGGAAGGTGTTCCCTGAAGGCAATACCTGTGTCCAGAACCCCTGCCCACTGGCCCTTGGTTTGGGTTCCTTTTTAAGCCACACTCTGTTTCTTCTGTCTCTGAATCTTCCAGGTTCCCACTTCACTCACTTCCAGGCTGAGGACCTGTCTCTCCTTCAGCTCCTGGGACAAAGGAAGTTTTTCACATGCCAATGAGCACATATTTGGGGCCAGACTATCCGTGCTCAGATTTGGTAACAATTGCTGCAGCCAGCTCCCAGGACATGAACAGAAATCTGAGCTGATGTTTACAGACTGGGTGCCTGTGCCTGGGTCTGTCCAGAGGGTGGTCTGGGACCAGTGGGGCCTCACTCCCCCCGGCCTTGTCGGAAACAAGGATGCCAGGCCCCACCCCAGACCCGCTGAATGTGGGGTCTGCATCTTCACAAGACCCTGGGCGGCTGGTCCAGCACACAGATGACCTCTCACATATGGCTCAGAAGTAATAACTGATGACACCTCTAACAGTCAGAAGATTTCATGGGAGAAAGAGATCACCAGCGTTTTCAGTCATCTGCAGTGCCACTCCTGCCCCTCCACCCCCGCTACACCAGCAGGGTGCCGGTTCTTGGGTCTCTACAGCAGCCTCCACCACCTCTCCTGCTCCCTGCCTCCTGCCCCTCACGACCCCTGGGCCTGGAGCCCCTGCCTCAGCCCTGGCGTCTCCCCGAGGACCACCCTGGCTGCTCCCTCCTTGCCCTCTGCCTGCGCCCTGTCCTCTGCCTGGGCCAGGAGGCTCCATCTTTTCCACCCTGAGATGTAGAATCCACTGCCACCTTCTCAGGCAGGCCCTCCTGGGCCTCCGTCTTTAAAACAGCACCGGCATCACCAGCACCGTGTTTTAGTGCCTAATTATCCCCAAGTCATCCTACATGATCTCCCGCGTGGCCCGTACGGGGCAGGACGTGGTGTGCACTGACTCGTGGTGTCTCTGTGAGCACCACAGCATCCTCACCGCCAGGTCCCCATGGCCTGGGTGCTACCTCAACAGCGCAGGCTCTACCGGTAATTTAATAATGCACTGTTGAACAATGGGGGACCGCCAGCAAGCGCCCCCTCGCTCTGGGGCTCAGTTTCTCCACTGGTGAGACGAGCAGCCTTAGCCACAGCACCGTGCAGACCGCCCATCTCTAGGAATGGACAGGTGCTCTCTGTGGGGGCAGCTCTGCGCCTTTTCCCCTTGGCTGCTCCCTACGACACCAGGAGGGAAGCCTGAAGGGAGCCCTGTGGGCTGGGCCCTGGCAGGAGAGGGGAGGAGAAACGGAGCCCATGGCAGGAGAGATACGGCGTCACGGCCATCCACAGAGGATGCTGCTCCTCAGACTGAGGCCTGGTCCATGCAAGAAATTTAAACCCAGGAACTGTTTCTACATTCACCTCTCTCTAGTGTAGTTTCATTCATTCTGTTTAATTTTCTTTAAATTGCCACCAATGATCCAGGTCATGGCTCTCCCCAGCTGCGAGCGGCCCGCCTCCGCGTGGACGCCCTGGGGTCTGCAAGCCAGGAGAAGAGGGGCCGCTGGGAAGGCATGGGGGGCGTGGGGACTGGGAAGGGGCAGTCGCTGGCTGGGCAGCTGCTCTCGGGGTACCACTCCTTAAGGAGCACCCCTCGGGATTGTCTGGCGGGTCACACCCGCCTGCACAACATTTACCACTGAAGGGTGAGGGCAACGGGTGGGCTTGGGTCCCACCAGCCTCACTACAGAGCCACCCCTTTGGAACCTCTAAAACCCCACGGCCCTGAGCCAGAAAGCCCTGGCATGCAGGGCTTGGCAGTTCCGCCTTCTACATGGCCGACCCCTCCTGGGGGACCCTGACGGCGTGGAAGCTACTGAGGAGACTGCCGGTCCCCTGTCACCTGACGCTTCATCTCGCACAGCACCAAGGGCTCCTGGGTCCAGGCTCCAAACACGTAGGTCTAGGATGCTGGGTGTGCATCTGTGCACGAGGGGCCCAAGGGTGTGTGGTGCCCCCTCCTATCCACTTCAGATATGTCTCAGAGCCTGGGTGACAAAGTGAGGCCCCACCTCTACAGAAAATTAATACACGCACACAAAAAAGCCGGTGCAGTGACTCACACCTGTAATCCCAGCGCTTTGTGGGCTAAGGTGGGAGCACTGCTTGAAGCCAGGAGTTCAAGATCGGCCTGAGGAACATGGTGAGAGCCCAGCTCTACAAAAAAATTAAAACTTAGCCAGGCGCTGTGGCATGTGCCTATAGTCCCAGCTACTTGGGTGGCTGAGGTGGGAGGATAGCCTGAGCCCAGGAGTTCTAGGCTGTAGTGAGCCATGATCAGACCACTGCACTCTAGCCTGGGCAACAGGGCGAGACCCTGTCTCTAAAAATTAATTTATTTAATTTAATAAAAATAAAATTGGCTTGGACATCTCTCTGGAGTCTCCAAAAGTGATTCACGGTGTGAAATCAAGCCCATCGTGCATTTTGTGAAAAGAAAGGGCCTTCTCTTTGGAAACAGGAATAGCTGTTTCCCTCCAGTGTCTTCTGCAGAGCGGGGCTCATACGCGCTCATGTGAGCAGCAGCCCGTGGGCCAGTGAGGCTGGGATCATGTCGGCCGCAAGTGTCACGTGCGTCTTTCGCCCTGTGAGGGGCTGCGGCTCAGGGGCATCTGCCATTTCGTTTCCACGGAATTTAAAGATGAGGTTATCTCCATCTGCCCCGGCAGCATTACAAGTCACTTCCAAGCACCAGGGCCCTGTTCCCGTTGACCTAAGAGTGACTGCGGTCCACCCGGCCTCCGCACACAGAATCCTGTGGCTCAGGTTTGCTGGTGGCTTCTGTTGGGGAGTGAGGGTGCCTGGGCTGAGCGCTGGACCTGTGACTGTCACAGTGAGCTCGTGGCCTTCCCACAGCAACCACCTGGGGGGCCGCATTGCTAGGCCCTCTTTCTGGAGAAGGAAAAGTCTCCCAGGACGGGACAAGGCGGAACCTGGATTCTGCCTCTGTCACACCTTGAAGAGTTCTGTCTCCTGGTCAACAGGACGGTGGGAGCCCAACCCATTCAACCCCCGAAAAACCCACACGAAACCACGCAGGACACGCGGGGCAGCATCGCCCCCTGGTCCAGTGCAGACACTGCAGACGCTGGTGGATTCAGGTAGATTCCGCCTGTCCACGGCCTTGATAAACGTGACCACAGAGGCAGGCAGTGACCCAGGCAGGGATGGCTGTTCACGCCCTGGAGACAAAGTGCCTGCTGGGAAACACCTGAGCGTGGCGCCCCCTCCCAGGGAGCTGCTGTGATCAGAGACATCCTGACTCTTCCCAAAGCCACCCTAAGAGCCCTAGACTGGGAATGAGCCCCCGGAAGTGACTGGCCACGATGAGCACATGAGGCTCTAAAAGACCAGGGCCCCACACGGAAGATGAGTCTCGTGACAAATCTGTCCGGGAGACGCTGGAGGCGTCACTGCTTCCCTGCCTGACTTACCCTCCAGCCTGGCCCTCTCTCAGCCCCCAAAATGCCCAACGCCAGCAACAGATTACAGCCCAGCATCCAACGTATCACCGGTTCCCAACACATCTGCCAAATCCAGCCTGGCTCGGAGCAGCCACATCTACGCCGTCCACACCAGCCCTTCTGTGAGCCCAGTCCACGGAGGAGAGAGTGGTGTGCAGTGTCAGCAGCAACACCTCCCTCCACTCCTGGTTTCCACCTACACGAGTCTGCTTGCCCCGCCCCAAACCCAGGGTGGCTCAGACCAAGCTGCTCCCGAGCGGCTCTCCAAAGGCTTCCTGCGCATTTAGAATGAAATTCACGCTCCTCCCTGAGGCCTGGATGCTGGAGCCGAGCCTGCTCCTCCCGGCCTCCTGCCTCCCCAGGGCCTCAGAGCTCAGGGTGCCCCATCTACGGCCACACCACGCCCCTTCCTGCCCCCTGTCCTGTGCACTTGCTATTTCCTGGCCTAGAACATTCTCCCCCCAGGCCTCCAAGACATCAGCTTCCTCTGGTCATTCAGATGCCACATCCCGGAGACACCTCACCGCTCCGTGAAGACAGCCCCATTCCCTGCTGTCACCTTCTACTGGGCTGTTCTCTTCCACTTTCTTCCTACACTGATTCAAAGTGACTAATTTATCTGCTAGTTTGTTTATTATCTGTCTTTCCCACTAGAACCAAACTCCTCAAGAGTAGGACTGTGCTGTTCTTCTTGTTTACAGCAGAGCCCCCAGCACCCAGCTCACAGCAGGCGCCCAGTGAGAATCTCCCAGAAGGACGGATGGAGGGACGAGGAGTCCCTCCTTGGATCCCCCCAGGTGCAGTCTGGGCGTTGCTGTGGGAAGCACACCACACTGGACTCGGCTTACACAACCAAGGGCTCCTCGGATGTTTGCTGGCACCCAATACATGCAGGGCCCTGGACTACAAAAGCCAAGAGAATGGATTCCGTTTGTAAACGCAGGCCCCATGGAGTAATGTGCCCAGGGCCCATGGGCACTGGCGGGCAAAGCATGTGTCCCACCCCTACCTGCAGCCCCATGGCACATCCTCCAGGTCCCGGGACCCCTGAGGCCTGGCTCTTACCTCCAGCGGGACCACCTGCATGAGGATGGCAAAGTTGGTGAGGTGAGTGCAGCGGCAGACGGAGTAGGTGAGGTTTCCTCCCGTGAGCGCACAGCCCTGGTTCGACCAGATCCCTTCTCCGGAGCTGAGGACACAGGAGAAAGGATCAGAGGAGGTAGCACCGCACCCTTGGCAGGCCGGGGACTGAAAGCAGCACCCCCTACACCACACGGCCCTGTGAACTCACAGCGGTGCCCACGCCTGCCACTCCAGGAATGCACACCCAGACCACGGGGTGGGAGTTGGGAGGAGAGATTCTGGCCATTAGGCCAGCGAGAGCTGGAGAGCGTCTGCTGCTGGTCAGGCCACAGGAAGCAAGGCCCTCCCTCTGGGATAGGGAATGGAGAGCTGCTTCGGCACAATCACCCTGAAAAGCACCTGGACAAGGCCCAGCACAAAATGAAACGCACACAGCGCACGCAGCGGCATGCGCCAGGGACCACATTCAAGACTGGTCACTGAATCATGAGTGACAGTAACTTAAACGCCCATCGGGGAAAACGGGTAAGTGCGGTGTGGGAGAGAGAAATATGATAAAATACCTCGCATCAGTTAAAAAGAACATCCTTGACCAATATGTATCGATAAGGATAAAACACCAGAACACAATGTACAGTGACTAACCACGAGGCAAGGCCCGTGGGGCCAGCAGCACCACACACTTCCCATGGACACAGCTATGACCGACACAGACTGCGGAGAAAATGCTCGCACAGAAGCCGCCCATGGTGTCACCATCAGAGACGGGGTGGCGAGATCAGGATGAGACGGAAAGGTCTAAGGAGACCCTTGCTTTTTCTATAATGTTTTACTTTTTACGTGAATAATGTGTGGATATATTACTTGCATGACTTTGTAAAGTGTAAACCTAGACAAAAACGACGGGAAGCAAACGTGCTCTCGGTTAACTGTGGTTAATCCTGTTGCTGTGAATATTGGTGACTATCATTTTCTTCTCTGTATTTCTCTATATTTTCTTTTTTGTTGGTTTGTTTGCCTTGAGACAGGGTCTCACTCTGTTTCCCAGGCTAGAGTGCAGCGGTGTGATCATAGCTCACTGCAGTCTTGACCTCCTGCTCTCACGCGATCCTCCCACCTCAGCCTCCCAGGTAGCTGGGACTGCAGGTGCATGCCACCGTGCCAGTTAACATTGTTCTTTGTATTTTTGTAGAGATAGTCTTGCTATGTTGCTCTGGCTGGTCTCGGACTCCTGGGTTAAAACCACCTTCCTGCCTCAGCCTCCCAAAGTACTAGGATTACAGTTGTGAGCCACTGTACCCCGTCTTCTATATTTTCAAATTCCAAAAGAAAAAAAAAAAAGATTTAAATGGTTCTTCCCTGAAGTTAGAACCTCAAGTTATCAGTAAAGACAAAGTTATCAGTAAAGACAAATCAGTAAAGACATTGCCTTTGCTTCAGCCAAAGGCAATGGCGCTTGGGGGAAGGCATTTATAAAGGTGAATAAATTAAAAGGCTCTAGTTTGTATTTGCTTTGTATTCACTTTCAACTGTGGTGCCAGCATGGATGTGGCAGATGAGAACTGTGGCTGTCCGGTGGCATGACTGATGAAGACCCCAGCTCACACCTCTCCAGCCAATGTCTCCGGATCGAGCGCACACCAGCAGCCTTGGGCAATGGGAACCCTGCATTAGCCCTGGGTGATGTGGAGCCCAAGGGAGGGGCTGGGATGGTCATTCAGACATGACCCAGGGGTGGCTCTGAGTTTGAGGATGGAGACTCAGACAGCAGCTCAGTGGTGATTTTCATGATTAATGATCTGCTCTCCTAGGGGAGGGAGAAGGCATTTAGCAGAGAGCAGAGGACAAAGCGAGAACCACTCAGACGTACCAACTGAGAGGAGCAAAACCCCATTAATAACTTCAGAATTGATGGGACTTAAAGATGGGGTCATGTCCTCCTCCTCTACCTCCCCACCCCTTTTGATCTAATTTTCCCAGGACCTTGGAGGGAGTCAGCAAACACCAGCTGTTGTGTTATATATTGCACCTTTGTCTGTCAATTGGCTGCATGAGGACCGTACTTCAATTTGAAGGGGGCCTGAACATTAACAGGCACTGGATTAGCTGAACATGGCCATGGGTATGAGTTGCCCCTTCTGCTTACACAAAGGGTAAGCTAAACAACACGAAAGTCACATTGTTCAGATGGAGCTGCAAAGGTGTGACGATGACCTAGTTAGCCAGAGGAGTAGAGCCTTAAGTGGCATCAAGGAAGATCTACTTCCAAGGGAGTCAGCGAAAACAAAGGGGCAGGCTTGCAGCTTGTGCATAAATAAATCTGCTATGGAAGCCAGATGAAGCAGTATCAAATAACACTAAAGATATATACGGCCCTGGGACCCAGGAAGTCTGCATCTAAACAGAAAAATGTTCAGTCATGCATAAATAAAATGTAACATACATAAATACGGTAAAAGACATGTATGTCCATACAGGCAAAACACAGAAACAAAAGGTGGAGGAATGACGGAAGAAACACTGAATTAAGCAGCACCATATATTTCCTATGATTATAAATATAAATTATACATAAATTATTGAAAAAACACCCAAAAAACCCTCCCACAGTAGTTACTACTGGGGAAAGGGGTAGAGATCAGGATAAGAGGTAAAGACCAAAGGGAATACTTGCTTTTCTATAATGTTTTACTTTTGAACAAAGTAATATATAGATATATTACTTGTATAATTTCTTAAAGAATCAGTCTAGGAAAAAAAGCGGCCCAGAATTCTAGGCCCAGTGAAAATCTTTCAAGTCGAAAAGAGAATACTTTCTCAAATGGTAACTGAATCTATTGCCAGTGGACAAGAACTAAAAGAAGAGTTAAAGGAATATGATACTACACAAAAATCTACACAAAGAAATAGAATAGTTGGAAGTGGAATAAGTGAAGGTAAATAGGCAATTATTATTGTCTTAATTGCTATAATTGCTCTAGAAGATAACTCAATGTCCAGGGGACAAAAATACTAGCAATGCATTGTGTTTATGGTGTCTGTAAAGGTGAAATGTACTACAACAACAGTACACAGAATGGGCAGGAGGAAGTGTGAACCTATTATTATAATGTCTTAGAATACATTTGGAACGATACCATAGCATTTGAAGGCAGGCATGAGTGAATTAGACATATACACACTGTAAGCTTAGGTAACCACTACCAAAAAAGTTAAAAGGATGTATAAATTAGAAATCATTTATAGTAGAGATAAAATAGCATCATAAAAGATATTCAACAACCCAAATGAAGTCAGAAAAAGATAACATTTTTAAAAGATAGAAAAGTTAGAAGACATCTAGCAAAATGGCAGATTTTAATCCAACCACACCAATGATTACATGAAATGTAAATTGTCTAAACATGTCAATTAAAAACAGAAATTTGAGGACTGGATTAAAGAAAAGACGAGACCCAGCTATATGGAGTCTAAAAGAAACCCACTTTAAATATAAATATATAAATAAGATAAAAGTTAAATTATGGGAAAAGATATAGCACTCAAACACTAATCAACAAAGCTAGAGTAGTTTTACTCAAATTAGACTAAGTCAACTTCAAAGTAACACATATTTCCCAGGGTAAAGAGGGACATTACATAACGATAAAAGGGCTAATTTTCCAAGAAGACATAACAATTCTAAACATACATGTACCTAATAACAGAACTTCAAAATTCATTAAAGAAAAATTCATAAAACTAGAAGGAAACAGATAAATCTACCACTAAAATTGGAGAATTCACACTCTTCTCTCTTTAATTGACAGAACAAGTTGACAGAAATGTAGTAAGAATATAGAAGACATAATCATAACCATCAATCAGCTGGGTGTAATTGACATTTATAGAACACTCTACCAAGAATACACTTTTTTTCAAGTGCACATGGGACGTTCATCAAAGACTGAACATATACGGGGTCTCATAAAAACTTTTAACAAATTTAGAAGAACTAAAATTATAGAAAGAATATTTTCTGATCATAAAAAAAAAACTGTTTACAAATCAACAGCAGAAAGCTCTCTGGAAAATTCCCAACTATTTGGAACTAAACTACACGTTTCAAAATAACACACAGGTTGAAGAGGAAGTCACAAGGAAAATTAGAAAATATTTTAAATTTAACAAAAATAAAAACAACATATCAAAATGTGTGGGATGCAGCTAAATCAATGCTTACAGAAAAAATACAGCATTAAATGTTTATATTAGAAAATAATAAAACTTCATAGCAATAACCTAAACCTACACTTCAAGAACTTTTAAAATGAAGAGCAAATTAAACTCAATGAAAGCTGAAGGAAGTAAATTAAAGACAAAGAGGATAAGTCAATGAAATTGACAACAGCAACACAAGAGAGAAAAATCAATGAAGCCAAAAGTTGTACCTTTGGAAAAAAATCAATAAAATTAATAAACCTATAGTAAGAGTGACTCAGAAAAAAGAAGAAACAGATTATAGACATAAAACGTGAAATGGGAACATCACCACAGACCCTTCAAGCAAGAAAAAGGCTAACAAGGGAATACCACAAAAACTCTGTGCCTATAAATTAAACAACTTTGATGAAATTGATGAATATTTCAAAAAAACACAAATAGCTAAAACTTATTTAAAAAGAAGTAGACGACCTACATAGTTCTGCATCCATAAAAGAAACTGAATGTGTAGTTGAAAACCTGCCAACATTGAAAATGAAGGCTCAGATGACTTCATGGTGAACTCTACTAAAATGGAAGAAATGATATCAATTCTATACAAACTATTCCAAAGTGCATTCCAAAATGTAACTTTTATGAAGGTATCATTACCTCGATATAAAAACAAAGACATTACAAAAAAAAAGAAAACTGCAGATCAATATCCGAAAATGCACGTAGACACAAAAATTCTCAACTACTGTAGCCAATTCGATTTAGCAGTATACAAAAAGATAATACATCATGGCCAAGTGTGGTTTACCCCAGGAAAGCAAAGCTGGTAAAACTTGCAGCTTTAATCATAATGATCCCACTCTGAAAACAACCCAGATGTTCCTCTACTTGGGAGAAGATAAATAAACTGTGGTACATCCATGTAATGGAATCTCCTTCAGCAGTGAAATGTGAGAATGAGGTGTTGATACATGCAACAATACATATGTGGTTGATGCTTAACACATTACGCAACATTAAAGAGACTGGACTCCAAAAGGCTGCCTATGCCGTGATATCATTTATGCACACTCTGGCAGAAGCAAAACTGTATAGGAACAGAAGACAGATCAGTGCTTGCAGGACCTGGATGTGAGAGGAAGGGATGACTGCAAACACACACGGGGGCATCTCCGAGGGTGATGCATTGTTCTCATCCTGATTACAGTGGTTGCACAACTGTGTTCATTTGTCAAAACTCACAGAACTGTACAATCATCTACAAGTGTGAATTTTTCTAAATATTATATAAGTAATAATTGCACAATGGACAGGAAGGATACAGATACTATGTTCATGATGGTGGCTGCCTCTGGGAATTGAGGAAAAAGAACAGAAGGAGGTGGAGGGTTTGTTAACATCATCTGCAATGTTTTAGTTGTTTCATTCTTAAAAATACAAAAATATAAACATGCTAGTAACTATAAATTTGGGGCAATGGGTACCTGCATTTGTTATATTATTCTCCTTACTTTTCTCTGTTCTTAAAATTCCTTCAAAAATAAAAACCAACATGCCAATTTAGTTCTTACCAAACCCCATCCCGTTTTCTAGTCATAATTTTTTTCTCCAAACAGTGCTCCAAAATTGGGATAACTATTTCTAGGAGCACGTGCTTCCAAATTTTCACAATTTGCAAATAAAGGAAAAAGAGCTGCAACCTGCTGAGCCTGACCAGGGCAAAATCACTGAAATTACAGAAAAAAAATACAGCATTAAATGTTTATATTAGAAAATAATAAAACTTCATAGCAATAACCTAAACCTACACTTTAAGAACTTTTAAAATGAAGAGCAAATTAAACTCAATGAAAGCTGAAGGAAGTAAATTAAATCCATCCACACTGCAGAGGCATGACGCCAACAGTCATGATGCCGACGGCCATAGCCAGAGCGAGGCATCCCAGGGGACAAAAATGTAAGCAGTGTTTGCTGGAGGTGACAGGATTTGGGCTGTATTTTCCTCACTGTTCACAGAACAGAGATAAAAGGGGATTATGCCAACCCACTGCTGCACCCCCAGCTCAGCGTCCTGTAATCTCCTGGCCCTCTGGGTGCAGGGAGCAGAGAAGCTTTCTCTGATGGGGCTGTACCAGCATCGGTGGCACAGCCTGTGTGGATCCTGCCCTGAAGCAGCAGGAGGAGGGAGCTGGGGAAGTGAGTCCAGGCACAGGAAGATGCCCAGGTGTCGGGGAGGCTGACAACATGTAGGGTGATGGGCCACTAGGCAGGGTGTGAACTGGATGTCCCAGATGTGTTCCAGCCACCTGTGCAGTGTTTAAAACATTGGGAAAGTTCATATAATAATCCAGCAACAGGCGGGGCACGCTGGCTCACGCCTGTAATCCCACGACTTTGGGAGGCCAAGGCGGGCGGATCATGAGGTCAGGAGATCCAGACCATCCTGGCTAACACGGTGAAACCCCATCTCTACTAAAAATACAAAAAAAAAAAAATTAGCTGGGCGTGGTGGCGGGCACCTGTAGTCCCAGCTACTCCGGAGGCTGAGGCAGGAGAATGGCATGAACCTGGGAGGCAGAGCTTGCAGTGAGCCGAGATAGCGCCACTGCACTCCAGCCTGGGAAACAGAGCAAGACTCCGTCTCCAAAAAAGAAAAAAAAAAAAAAAATTCCAGCCACAGCCAATCACAGTGGCTCACACCTGTAGTCCCCGCACTTTGAGAGGCTGAGGCCCGAAGGAGTGCTTGAGTCCAGGAGTTTGAGACTACAGTGAGCTAAGATCACACCACTGCACTCCAGCCTGGGTGACAGAGTGAGACCGTGTCTTAAAAAAAAAAAAACGAAAACAAACTCTAGCCATGAAAACTCATGACCTGACAACACAGGACCTGCGACCTGCATCCCACATGGAACAAGCCCTGGGGACCACCGCTGAGCAGCAGCTGAGGATCCGGAAGGCCTGACCCTCCCTCCACTCCCTGGCCCTGCGGGGAGCTGAGTTTTCAACACCGCTCTGACTGTGGAGCCACTCACGGTGGGCTCACGTCTGGAGGAGAATTGTGATCAGAGTGATGGTGGGAGACCCCCCGGACATCGGGCAGGTGAGCTGTGGAGGCGAGCTGGGGGCGGGGGCTGCTAGGAGGGCAGGAAGAGACTGCATGAGACAGGTGTGACGGGCGGACATGGGAGACGCTGGGGAGGACGTCCCAGTCGGGGCCCAAGTGGCAGAGACTGAAGCCTCAGAGTCTTAGGCACGCCTGATGGTCAGCATGCTCCAGTGGAGCCGGCAAGGTTTCAAACAGGAAAATGCCAAAGTGGCCAGTCAGAAGCCACTCCCCCAACCCCCTTCCTCAGCCGCTCCAAGACCCCTGAGGGGGACAGCCAGGGCCGTAGGGCCTGCCCCAACGGACGGCATCCTCCAGCTCCCCCAAGCATCTGCTGCACTGGCTTGAAAGTCACCCTGGGCATTCAGAGGCTTTGTCCAGACACATCGTGCAACAGCAGGCTCCTCCTCACATGGTCTGGAGGGGAGGCCTCGACCCAGCACTGCTGCCAGGCCCCGCCCATGTCTGCAGCATTTCCAGCGTTTTCGTGTGACGCAACCATGTCAGCTGCGGAAATGGGTGACCCAGATCCTCCCCTGGGCTGGCATGGGGCGGGCCTGGGCTTGGACACCTCGTGCCCACCTACTCTCCCCTGTGCAGAGGGTACCTGAAGTCCAGGAAGGCGCAGTACACGAAGACTCGGTTGCTGCTGTTGGTGGCCTCACTGTGCTGCTTACGTGTCTGAAATGAAAGAAAACAAACACGATGCATGACGCTGCTGAAGAGGTCCCTAGTTCTCAGCATTGACATGACAGCGAGACTCTCACGGCTGGGCGACCTCGGGCAGGGACAGGCACAGCCACCGATGTCCATCTCCATCCATTGTGGGTGTGGTCCCACGTCACCCGGCCCAGGTCATGCTGCCCTCTGCTCTGCTCTCTCCAACCCACCTGAGTGCCCTGGCAGGTGCCGGGTCCTCCCTCTGGGACACTCCTCCCCCTAGGACATGCCTCCCCATAGGATGCTCCCCGCCAGGCAGCCACAGGCTCCCTCCCCACTCCCCGCCAGGCAGCCACAGGCTCCCTCCCCACTCCCCACCAGGCAGCCACAGGCTCCCTCCCCACTCCACGCCAGGCAGCCACAGGCTCCCTCCCCACTCCACGCCAGGCAGCCACAGGCTCCCTCCCCACTCCACGCCAGGCAGCCACAGGCTCCCTTTCCACTCCACGCCAGGCAGCCACAGGCTCCCTCCCTACTCCACGCCAGGCCTCTGCATGAAGGAGCTCCTCAGAGAGATCTTCCCTTCCCTACCTGTTCTGAACAGCACCAGCCCCCTGCCTGCTCTAGCTCCATTCCACTCACTGATGTTTTCATTGTCCTGATCACCATGTGGCATGTTACATATCCTCTGTCCACTGTGTGTGTGTTTGCTACCTTCCCCTCTACAATGTCAGCTACAGAAAGGACAGAGCTTCTGTCTCATTCATGGCTGCAACCCCAGGACCTAGAGGGCATCTGGCATACAGCAGGTGCTTACTAAATATTTGTTCAATGAATGAACAAAAGAATCAGTGAACAGGTCCATGAGAGCACCTTGTTCTGGAGACGGGCGTTCTCTCCTGGGCTGCTCCTGGGTGCCAGCTCAGAGGACTCTGCAGCTATGGCTCTACCCTAAATGAAAGGCACAGACTCCTTCAGGAGCCATAGTTGGAGGCACAGGAGACCAGCAACTCCACCGGGACCCAGCGCTGCTCAGAGGCGGCATGGCTCCAGGATAAATGGTGTCTGATGGATTCCCAGTCAGTCAAGTCAAGCATCTCTTATTTGTCTGATGCCTGCTCTGTTCTGTGACCCATTCCTGAGCCATCATTGCTCCAATGAGACCCTTCCCCCATTTCAGGGTGACCAGCTCTCAGGAAGGCACTGACTTGTGCAGGACAGAGCAGGAGGGCAGCCCCCCTCAGGAACGCCATCCTGGCCTCTACCAAAAGCCCCTCCTTTCCCAAGAGGCAGCAGCTCTGGTGCCCCTGACAGGCACCTCGGACCCCACTGCAAAATCAAAGCGCTCACAGGGCTCCCATTGCAGCATCTGTCTGACAGCTCCTCTAGCCTCAACCCAATTATCCTAGCGCTGTCTATTACTAATGTTTTGGCAAAATGGAATGTTTACTCTTTCTGCTTTGTCCCCCACCCCCGTCGCCCCATATCTTAGGGTTAATTTTAATCCATCACAGGGTCTCTTAAAACTGCCTGGAAAAGACATCTTCTCCTCTGTCTTCCCAAAGCCACAGCCCGCTGTGAACTCTTGCACAGACAACAGAGGGCCCTGTGTCCTGCAGCCACCTGGACCACAGAGGGGCATCAGCAGGGAAACTGCAGCACCAACCCCACATAATAGAAAAGACGAACAAAAACCCGGTGGTCATAGCCTGGTTCTCAGAGGGGTGTAATGAGGCTTCCTTGGCCCCAGGCTACACCAGAGCCAAAGCCTCCAGCAGATAGCATTATATGTAATTTTTTAACAAGGAGGCGTATTTGTGTGTTACTTGAGTAATTTAAAGGAAATTTAAAAAATAAGTTGGTGACCTGGGGAAGAAAGCAACCAGACCCATACACATCAACTCGAGGCAAGGACTCCTCAGGAGGGAGGCCACGCACCTCTTCCCATCACCTCCTCACCCAGCGCCGGCTCCCCCCTCTGCCCTGGGTGTGGAAGCACAGCCCCCGAGGGAGCATAGGCCACAGTGGCCTCTGGAAGTCCTGACACTCTGACTTCAAATCTAAATCACTCTTCAAAGGAAATGTAGAAAACAGCCACCACCGCAACAAGCCAAGCATGTGTGTGGTCCAAGGGTGGGAAGGCAGCTAGCTTTCTCTTGGATCTGCAGCCAAGATCACACCCTGAAATGGGGAAACTCCCTCCATCGTCAGAGGCTCCATCACAGCCTCCACTCCTGGGATGGGAAAAGCAAATTGACTCTTCATTTATGTGTGTGGAGTTCCGCACTGACTGGGAACAAACGCTCTCAGCAAGTCTCCAGAAAAGGGGGCCTCCACGGCTCCCAGGGGTGTGACGTGGGGTGGGTGTGTTTTTGACACAGGAGTGTGGTGCTGCCAGAATGTGAGTCATCTGCGTACAGGCCGCATCTCATGCAGAAATGTGGGAGGTGCCCACAGCCCACCAGCCTCCCTGAGACCTGGGAGAGGCACAGTGGCCAGTTCAGTTCATCACCAGGTGGCTGGGGATTGGGAATGAGGTGCTCCCTCCTGCTGGAGCCTTCAACGGTGTTGGGGGACAGCCGCATTCACCTGAGCATCCTCCTGAAACTTCAAGCCAGGGGCTGCTGAGCTCTGCTGGACAGAAGTGCAGGCCTCCTCACAGGGCCGGCTCCACTGCAAGTAACCTAATTTCCCACTAGACACACTTCACTGGGGTATGTCTAATGGAGAGTGCTCTGTGAGCCCTCAGGAATATCTCCCACAGGATCTGAGACTCCCTCCAACAACCATCATGATCTTTCCAGTCTGGGAGAAGCAAACGGGATTAATCAACTGCTTGTTTATTGCCTACTGTTCACGAGCAAGGTACACCAAAGTGTCTCCTTCTAGGACATGCAAGCAGAGAGAAGAGAAAAATTTGATTCTCATGATAGCCTGTTAATGCCCATTGTTCAGAAATGTGCTGGCTTTTATGTAAGTATTGCTATGGTTTGACTGTGTCCCCCAAAAGCTCATGTGTTGGAATCTTAATTCCCAATGCAGCAGTGTTGGGAGATGGGGTCTTTAGGTGGCAGCTCGGTCATGCGGGCTGAGCCCTTGGGAATGGATTAATGTCACTGTTATGGGAGCAAGTTAGTTGTTGCAGGAGTGAATTTGTTCTCATGACATTAGATTGATGCAAAAAGCAAGCTCAACTCGCTCTTGCAGTCTCTTTCACTCATGCTGGCTTCCCCTTTCCCTTTTCCACCAAGAGATGAAGCAGCACAAGGTGCTCACCAGACACGGCTGCCCGAACTTGGACTTCACAGCCTCCAGAACTGTGAGCCAAAGTAAACTTCTTTCCTTTATAAATTACTCAGTCTCAGATATTCTGTTATAACAACAGAAAATGGACTAGGTGCACAGTTTTACCTGTAAATAAGTTGGGGAGCTATTTGTCCATCATTGTCCCAAGCAAAAGAGAGATGGCACTGTGGTCCTTAAATCTGATGGTAAGTAAAGCAATATAAGGAGCCGAAATACTGACCCCAGAGCAGTGGGTCAGATGTAGGTGGAGCTCAGCGGAAAGCACGGGGCAGCCCTCTATGCCACCCTCTCTCCAGCCCATCTCACAACTAATCAGGGTTCAGGGCTTTGAATGCTTGAAATGTCCCACCTTTTGGGAAATCAAGGATAACAGAAGTAATAGGAGAGATACGACAAGGAAAAACCTTGAACCAGCCTCTATCTCTTGGTGCTTTCTGATGTTTCTTGCTTTCAAAGAGTCATAAGACAATCCAGCATGGTTGAGGCATCCACAGCCTGACAGAGGCTAAGACAGGACTTTCAGAGCCTGGTTCCAGCACAGGAAGAAAAAGGTGGGAGGTGGGCAGGACCCTGATCCGGGCATTTCAGGACAGGTTGATGAGCTGGGCCACCCCAGTGCTGGGAGGGAAAGGTTAGGCCAGGTGAGACCCTGGGACAGATGGCCCAGTGGAGCAGGGCTCATGGTGAGGATTTACTATTCTGCCTTCCCCCCACTGGTGCCATCTGCATGTGGATCTGTCTGGTTAAGTCGCTCTCCCCAGTGCTGGCTCCTGGGCAGAGGTGAGCAGTACCTTGGGGCACCAAGGACACCCACAGATGCTGCGCTCAGACACTTAGGACATCCCACTCAGCCCAGGCTCCTTCAGAAACCAGAGGCACCCTTCTTCCAACATGTGATCAAGCCATCTGAGGACAACAGCAGAGACCCTGGAACACGGCACCCCGAGTCTTCCGTCTCCAGGCCTCCCAAGAGCCTGCAGAGACCTCTTAGGCGTTAAGGCAGCTTGAAGGCGTCTGTCCTTTCAATGGAACAAGTCCTGACCACAGAATGCAGGCGCCACCCCCACACACATGGTGGTGACATACGCGTGTCTTATTTTGAGATCGTGGGGCCAGATCTCAATCCTAGAGAGCAGCCTCCCCAACCTCACAACCTACTGCTTCCCTCTTCAAAGGCAACTGAGGTCAGCCAAGAGACACGGGCAGAGGGGCAGCCTTGTGCAGACAAGCACAGCCCATGGCCACCTGGGACGCATCAGGGTCAGAGAGACCCACCGATGCCCCCTACTTCAGAAGATCCCAGGCAGGAAATGTTTGCCAAAGACCAAGAAGCTTCAGTTTCCCGTCTGTTCATCGCCAATGTGGGACGCTGGTCTGGTAACAAACCCGCCCTCCAGTGTGAACTGAACTCTAAACTGTATCCCTCCCTCCGAGGTCCCCAAGTCCCTGTCTCCTCTGCGAAACCTCAGGAGTCCCGTTTGAGAAGAAAGGGGCTCGCAGACACCTGATTCTCACGCTCGGTTTATGCGCAGGTGCCAGCCTGCAAGCCGGAGAGGCACACAGAGAGGAAACCGCGTTGCTGTTTCAAAACACAAAGAAAAAAAGAAAGAACTCCAAAATTGCATGGGGATCTGGAGTTAGGGCAGCTTGCTTCGAAACTGAACAGAAAGTGTTTTCGCATCACCCCCTCGCCCCAAGTAGCACCCAGTCATGCG